CTGCCTGAGGAAACGCCTAAATCCTTCAGTTGCAGCTTCCCAAGTTTCTGCCTCCGCCCTGCCTGCTGGCACACGTAGCTCCCTGTCCCTGTCAGTCATGACTTCTACGGGGGTCACTGCTAACCCAGTGAAAACCACAACGAGAGGCTCAAAAGTCAGGAACTCCTGTTTCCTACCTTCTTGGTGGTCCCATCTGCCCTGAGTCACCCTGCCGTCCTCACTTGCCTGCAGGCCAGGTATTTTTCACAATCTATAACGACAGCAGAGTGCCAGCGGAGGTTTCCTCTCATCTGACAGCTCAGAGCAGCCCTGACCCTGCTTCTTTTCATCCACAACAGTCCAGAGTCCAGGTGGCCAAGGGGGGGGACCAGAGCATATTCCAGGCACGCTCGAGGAGGGATGTTACCAGGTCCATCTGTCCTTCCAGATCTCGAGCCCAAGCTCAGGCTGCAAAGATTTGTGTGTCGTAAGCCACAGCAGAGACTTGCAGCCACACCAGTTTCGAGATGTGAGAACTGAAATAGATTGTCTCTGGGCCATGCTAATCGGAGCAGTCCTGGGGATCTTAAGCTACTCACTGCTGCCACCATCAGCCAAAACCCACCATCTCCTACGTAGAGGTTTCTGGCTCTGGTGCTCCTATCTGTCTTTTACATGCCACATCCATGCTTGAGAATTCATCACCAGCTTTCCCTGTGAGAAGATAGGGCGGGGGTGGGGTGGGGGGAGCGGAGGGCAGGACGCCTCATCAAAGTCAAGTAAAAACTCCCACTAACCCAGCATGTCTACACATCTCGCCCTGAACTATCCAATCCCCCTCATGGCATCGGTTCATGTCTGCAGAGCATCTGTGCAATATAAGAATGAAATGGATCCCTGGGCCCAGTGCGGGGTTTGGTCATATTAATTGTTCACTTGCTGTTATTTGGTTCCACCTGGACCTTCGGATGGCCTCTCGCATCTTGAGGAGGGACAGGTATGGAACACTCGGTGCTCTTACGGCTTTCTTTTCATCCCAAGTGGGTGTCAGCAAAGGGGACTTGCCAGATAATTTGAAGGTCTCTGACCCAGAGTTCACCAGCATTTGGGTTTGCTGGAATTGTGAAATACTGTAGAACCCTAGGGCCTGCAGCCGTTGGGTCTGTTTTTAATTGTTTTTGGTCAAACATTCTTCTAGATCGTATAACCCTGATCTGTCCACTTGCTGTACAGAGGTAACTTATGGTTGCTGTGAAGCTGAACACTGTGACACTGATGTGTCAAATGCAATAATGGTTACCCATGGTGGACGGTGTTTGGTGGAGCTCCCCGATTAAAACAAGTTTAGAAGCAGGAGTGGCATCCACTTCTGAAATAGCTTGCCTCCAGAACTTTATGAACCTGGAGAAATTATGAAAGTTATCCAAGTGTTCAGGTCTTTCATTCTAGGCTAGCTATGAATTGCCTATGACTCGACAGCACTTAACAACAGCAAAGAACAACAATTGTTCAGTTGCTATTACTCAAATTTGAATTTGTACACATGATTTCTTTTTTCAAGGGCTGCCCTTCCTGAAAACATGTCCACAGTATTTGAGACAAAGACTCGCTGATCTTGCCTCTAAGAAGCACCCTGGTTGTACCTCCCCAAAGATGTTATTGTTGTTGTTGTTGTTATGTGTCATAGCTACCCTATGTGCAACAGCCCTAAACCCTGTTCTGTCCTGTGCCAATCTTATTGTCTCCAACACACCTATCCCCATTCCCCAAGTCACTGAATCAATCCACCTCATTAAGGGTCTTTCTCTCCTGCGCTGTCCCTCCACCCTCCCAAACATGTCTCTCATCAAGGACTGGTCCCTTCTTGCAACATGTCCAAAAGTATGTCAGATGAAGCTTCAGAATACTCGCCTCCAAGGAGCAGCCTGGTTTCACCCTTTCCAGAATGAACTTTGTTTTCTTGGCATTCTGTGGGCTATTCCGCACTGTTCTCCAGCACCACAATTCAAAGGCATCGATCCTTCTTCTGTCATCCTTACTCACTGTCTACGTTTCAGATGCATATATGAAGCACTTGAAAACACCATACCTTGGATCAGGCACATCTTACCCTTTAAGCTGACATCCTTGCTCGTTAACATTTTGAAGAAATCCTTGACAGCTAATCTGCTAATGAAACATGTCTTTTGATTTGACTGCTGCCCCCTTCTTGTTGTCCTTGTTGTTGTTAGACACTGTCTAGTCGGCTGAAGCACATAATGACCCTATAAACAAGAGATCTGAACCTTGCTCTCTCCTGTACCATCCTCATGATCCCTGATATTCTTGAGTTAATTGTTATAACCACTGTGTCAGTTAATCTCTTTGAGGTTCTTCCTCTCATTCATTGACCTTCTATCTTTCCCAGCACGGTGCCTTCTTCCAAGGGCTAGCCTTTCCTAACAACATCCTTACCACTAAAGAGCTCCCTGGCTGCACTTTCTCCAAGACATACTGCTTTGTTCTGCAGGCAGTTCCTGGGATAATTCGGCCCCTTTCTCCAATACCACAACTCAAAGGAATCAATTCGTGCTCTGTCATCCTCATTCATTGTCCAACTTTCAGATACATAGGAAGTACCTGAAAAGATGATGGATCGGGTCAGGTGCGTCTTAATGGGGTGGACTATGGTGGATTCTGGTCCAGAGGGAGCCGCACTGCTAATCAAAGACCGCTCCTCTCTAGTGGTTCGAATCCAGCAGAGGCTCTCCGAAAGAGAGACCAATAGTCTCCTCCTGTGTGATTTACAGCCTCAGAAACCCGATGGAGGGTGAGCCACAGGTCAGTCCCATGACTCTACAGCAGTGAGTGAGTGAGTGAGTCGTTGAACTGAGAAGCCAATGAGATAACGTGGGGAGGTCATGCGTGGGGTGGATCCCTACTCATTACAAGTTGACTCCTTTTCTCTTCTCTCACCTATTATTTGTTCCCACATTGCAGAATCAAGGACAAATACTCTGTCCTAGGATTTTATTACCCAATTTCTCCAGAGTAAGACTTAGACGGAGGGGAGGTTGTCTGGGGTTGTCATACCTTGCATTGGGGACTCCTTCCTGGCCCTGGAGAATTGACTGAGGCGACTCACGGGAGTGGATGTCCACCCAATCCCAACTTGGAGGTCTCTTAGACAGTTAACTGGAAAACGAATCTTCTTGTCTTCCAATAAATGAAGAAAGAGGTGTAGTATTAAAAGTGCCCAACAAGTGTGGGACCCACATTTGCTCGTGTTCCTTTCTCTACAGCCCGTCAAAGCCAGCTCTGGCCAATGGGTGGAAAATAAGGCCCAGAGAGGTAAAGGCGCTTTGGCCAGGACCACACAGCTCATGAGTAGCAAAGCCAGTGCCCGTTCAGCTCAATGTCCCCTCCACCAGCTCCCCAGGTTTCTCTGAAGACACCTTCCACCTCAAGGAAGAGTCACCTGAAGACAGATATTTCCGCTTTGCCCCCAGGAAAGAGTGTCAACAGATAGAGAGAAAAAGAGAAGTGGAGGAAGGATCTAGGGAGGGATTAAAAGCTTCTGAATGCTGGAGGAGGCTCAAGGAAGCAACAGTGGGAGTTTGTTTTTCTTGAGAAATGAGGCCATCTTCACCATCTTTGCCTCCAAGGAGCACTCTGGCTGCACCTTCTCCAGACGTATTTGTTTGTTGTTTTGGCCGTCCATGGGCTGGTCAGTGCTCTTCTCCAACAGCACAGCTCACAGGCATCAAATCGTCCACTGTCATCCTTATTGCTTGTCCAGCTTCTCTCTCTCTCTCTCCATACTGGTTGGTATTCAGCCCCATCCTCTTTTCTGCATGGACCCACGTGCACATTCAGACCGTCAGCACAAACAGGCGCCGAGATGGGTCCTGAGACCCTAGATGGAGTGTTGGCTCAGCTCCTCAATCACTAGACTTAGGAGCTCACATCCTTGCACCTCAGTTTAGTCATCTGTGAAATGGGACCGCTTGAGACCTATTTTGTTTTCCCTTAGGCAGTAAAGGGAGTTCTGGTGGCCTCGTGGTAAGGAGTTGTGTTGCCATCCAAACGTTGTGATGTTCTTAAGTGCCATCAACTACACTTCACAGAGACCCTGGGAACAACAGATGTGAATCCTGTTCTATGCTGTGCCATCCTCGCCCTCTCTGGCACACGAGATCCCGTTGTGGTCACTGTCAATCCATCTAGTTGAGGGTCTTCCCATCCTTTGTCATCCTTCCATCTTCCCAAGCGTGATGTCCCGCTCCAAGGAATGACCTCTCCTAGCAACATGCCCAGAGAAGTGAGACAACCTTGGCCATCTTTGCATCCAAGGAGCAGTCTGGCTGCACCTTCTTCCAGGACGTTCTTGTTAGCTGTTTGGTCAGCGCGTGGGATCTTCAGCACGCTTCCATAACACCACAGCTCAAAGGCCTCAACTCTTCCTCTGTCATCCTTCGTCATTGTCCAGCTCTCAGAGGCCACACTCCTTTGGGATTTGATTTCAGTGCATCAAATCCTAAAGGTGCGTCATTTGGCTCTATCAGCTGCTCGTTGGGAGAAAGTTGGACAACCTCCTCCTGTGCGATTTCCTGCACTTTTACTGAGAAAACCCACTGGAAGGTCAGCTATGCATCAATTCCAACTCAATGGTACACAACAACAACAACAGATAGTAAACGTGTCAACCCACAGGGCCCAACTGTCCAAACTCAACGAACCACCCCCACAGGCTGCACTGAGCTAGCCCTCCCCCACCCCCACCAGCTGAACAATCTGGCAGGGAGGGCACGTGAACCTCAGAGAATGCACAGTGCTCATCTGAACACAGTCCTGGCCGAGGCCTGATTCCCTTTCAGCTCAGTGGATGCTGGAATGGAATAGAAGCAGCAAACAAAAGCAGCCTGGAAGGGGAGGGTGGTTTCCAGAGAGGCGTGTGAGCAGGCCACAGGGACGCTGGGGCTCGAATCCTAAAGCCACTGGGCTCAGCGAACCCGCCGGGCACGGCAGAGGCAGGAGAGGCGATGAGTGAGAGGCGGGTGGTGGTGGAAGCCCCCGCCAGTACCACCTCCAGCATGGCCCTCCAGAGACGCCGGCCATCCTTTGGAGGGACTCCGTCATCATCTCCCCTAGAGAGTACCCCGAGCTCCAGGGTCAATGTCAGGGGTGACCTGATCCGATCACCTGTGACCTACGCAGGGCTGCTGCCCGCTGGGTGCATAGGCAACCCCGGTGCCCGTGTGACCTGCCGGGCGCTGGGCATTAGCAGTGTCTTCTTACAAGGCCTGCAGAGCACGGGCCTGGCCGCTGTGCCCGCGGCGGGTCTCGAAGGGGACCACGGTGCTGTTGAGGACTTGGGGGGCTGCCTGGTGGAATACATGGCCAAGGTGCGCGCCCTGGAGCAGGTCAGCCGGGAGCTGGAAGCGGAGCTCCGGATGCATATGGAGAGCAGGGCCACAGCCTCCGGAGGCTGGGGGGCCCTCCGAACCTCCTGGGCTAGCAGTTGCCAGCAGGTGAGTGTCGGGATTGTTTTTATTCTTTTTTAAAAAATTAACATTTGGATCATTCATATACATTGTGTTTCACATATATACATTGTTCTTTACACAGTCTGTGATTGATATCATAGTTCATTCATTTATATTGTGGGACGTTCCCCTCCCTTGCAATTATCCTAATAGCTGCTTTCGGGAAAGCTTGTAAGCCAGCTGCATCATGCCTCATGCACTAATATTCCCCTTTTAGATAACAAATTACTGATTTGCACATGCCTGTCAAACCAATACTCTGAGGGAACAATTATGTGCATTTTGCTAAAGGTTCCTCAGTTCAGCTTGGAAACTTTGAGCAGCTGTATCCACAGTGCAGTCCAGAGAAAGCCATCAAGTTGCAGCAATCGACCCTCGCTCACAGCATAGTCATCTTCTCTTCATCTGGTTGGGTTCTGGTCAACTCATCCCCAGCCATCTGTGGCTAGGTTCAAACGGGCATCAGCTGGAAGCTCAGGAAGCCCACACTTTGCCCTGAGTTCCAGACCTGTTGACCTCCTCACTCCAGCCCAGCGCAGGCATGGGAGTGAGAGGGATACAACAACAAAGAAACAGGCTGAGCTTAGACTTGTCCATTTTGCAGATGCCCCCCGAGAGCTGACACTGAAGCCCGTGCATTGCACCGTCTGCAGGGTCGTTATCAGAGTGCCTGAGTACTGGGGAAGGGGACGGAGGTCAAGTGATGCAAGGCTGGAGAAATTGACCATGAACTCTTAACACCTTCATACTAAAAATACTGCAAACCTGGTCTCACGTATTTGGGGCATGTTTTCAGGAGGGACCAGTCCTTGGAAAAAAAAGGACACTGGGAAAAGTAGAGAGTTAGCAAAGAAAAGACCAGCAATGATAGGGAGTGACATAGTGAGTACAATGCACAACTTAGATGGCCAGGATGACACAGGATCAGGCAGGATTCGATCTGTTGTACCCGGGGTTGCTACGAGTCAGCAGTGACCTGACAGCACACAGCAACAACAACAATGGTCAATAAAGAAAGTAACAGCCATTGAAAAGGAGCACTTTTCCCCCCACGAGGTTCAACAGCATATGCAGGGAATCCACCAGGAAATTCCCTTTTCAGAGGAGAACACAGAGAAGGTCCAAGAATTTAAATTCCTTGTTTAAGGTCACACAATGACGAGAGGGTCAGACCTCACATCGAAACCTGAAATTTTCCACCATTGAAGCTTGCACTTGTCCCGTGATTCCGGGATGACTGCGTCAACCCTTCCTGAAAAGAAAGGATTTTTGTAGTCAGCATCAAATTCAATACAAACGGATGGATGTGGTATTATAAACAGTGGGGAGATGGAGAGAGTTCCTGCGGACATCTGTCACAGCGCTGCCCAGGGGAAATGTAACACCAGCCACAGAGGTAGTTGTCCTCCAATGACTACTACTCACATTGACCCAAAAAACAGCAGATCAAAACCTTGCCCTATCTTGAGTTGTCTTCATGATCTCTGTCCTACTCAAGCCTCGTATTTCTATTGTTGTGTTGTGTGCTGTTGAGGAGACACTAACTCATAGCTGACCCTCCAGCAGGTTTTCAGAGGCAATAAATCACGTTTTACAACTCTGTCTCATGTGCTTTGGGCATGTCGCCAAGAGGGACCAGTCCTTGGAGAAGGACATCATGCTTGGAAGGGTAGAAGGTCAGGACAAAAGAGTAAGACCCTGGATGAAATGGATTGACACAGTGACTGCTGGGACAATGGGGGCAGGTGTGTCAGAGACGGTGAGATTGGTTTAGGATAGGGTAGGATTCAGAGCAATTGTTCGTAGGGTCACTGTGAGTCGCAGGCAATTTGATGGCACTTAACAACAACAGATCACATGGGAGGAGTTTGCCCATCTTTCTCCTTCGGAGCAGCTGGTGGATTTGAACTGTGTGCCTTTGGGTTGGCAGCACAATTTCTTATCACTAAGAAGTAAACAGAAACAGATAAAGTTCATTTTAGTGCTCCACTTTATTCAGAGAGATGGACAATGACTAGGGATGATAGAAGAAGAATTGATGGTTTTGAGCTGGGATGCTGGAGAAGAGAATTGAATGCACCATGGACCTCTAGGAAAACAAACAAGTTCATCCTAGAGAGGGTGAAATCAGGCTGCTCCTTGGAGGAAAGGATTTTGAAGGATTTCATCTGACATACTTTGGGCTTGCTACAAGGAGGGGCCAGACCTTGGAGAAGGACGTTATGCTTAGAAGAGTGGAGAAAGAGTTAAAGAGAGAAAGAATCTGGCTTAGATGGATTGATTCAGTGACTGGGGTAAGGTGGGTAGATGTGGGTAGACAATGAGGTTGGCTCAGGACAGAGCAGGGTTCAGAGCTGTTGTATACAGGGTCACTATGAGTCACAAGCGATTGGACAGCACATAACAACAACCTTATTTAATTCAATGTGCCGTAGATGTTATCATTTTGACACGTAATCAAAACAACCCGCTTTGTTTTGTGAGATACTTTAAGGTGTCTGGAGGATGCAAGTTTGAAGAGTTTAGCCTCAGCCTAATCAACAAGCTGCCCTTTTTAATGCACTCAGCAGAGGGCAGTACTTGTCATCTTGTTCTCGAAGATAAAACCCACCTCTGTTTAGTTGATTCCAACTCACAGACCCCATGTGCCCCATAGAGATTTCAAAGCTGAAACCTTCACAAGAGAAGACTATTTCATCTTCTTTCCAGGGAAAAGCTGGAAGGTGTGAACCACCGACTTTGAATTAGCATGTGAGCATCTGAACAGGGCTCCTTCTCCTCAAAATCACAGCCACCAGAAATCCTATGGAAAGCAGCTCTCCTCTGAAACGCATGGCAGCCAATTGACTCAGTGACTAGAAGAATGAGATTACTTCTGTCGGAGACAATGAGATTGGCTCAGGATAGGGCAGGGTACAGAGCTGATGTGTATGGGGGTTCAGAGCTGATGTGTATGGGGTCGCTATGAGACGCAGGCAACTCGATGACACTTAGCAACAAAGAGTTCCAGTCAGCAGAAACTTCTGTAAAGATAAGTCTGTCCTCTATCTGTTGTAGGGTGTTCCTGGTGGCCACCTGGGACTATCTCACACTAGAAATGCAGCCAGTGCAAATGAAGAATTGGACTCTTTGATTTCATTCATTTTCTTTCACTTGCATTTTAAATGTTGCTATTTGGGCATGTTGCCAGGAGGGACAGGTCCTTGGAGAGGGACATCATGCTTGGGAGGGTGGAGGGATGGTGCAAGAGGGGAAGGCCCTCTATAAGGTGGACTGATTCAGTGACTGCGGTAATCGGGATGGGTGCGTCAGAGGCAGTGCGATTGGCACAGGATAGAGCAGGGTTTAGGGCTGTTGTACATAGGGTCGTTATGAGTCGCAAACGACTCAACGGCACATAACAACAACAAACAACAATTGTGTGCCATCGAGTCAGGGCCAACCCACAGTTCACCCTCCAAAGTGTTTTCAGAGGCTTTAAACAGCAAAGGAGAAGATTGTCCATCCTTCTCCCACAGAGCAGCTAGTGGGAACCTGGGATTATAATGCAGTTGCTTACCACTACATCACCAGAGCCTGTTGTTGTTGTTATGTGCCTTTGAGTCACTTGTGAATCATAGCGACCCTGTATACAACAGCTCTAAACTCTGCTCTATCCTGTGCCAATCTTATTGTCTCTGACACACCTACCCCCCCTTACCCCAGTCACTGAATCAATCCATCTCGAGGGTCTTCCTCTCCTGCGCTGTTCCTCCACTCTCCCAAGCATGACATCCCTCTCCAAGGACTGGTTCCTCCTTGCAACATGTCCAAAGTATGTCAGACGAAGCTTCAGAATCCTTGCCTCCAAGGAGCAGCCTGGACTCACCCTCTCTAGAATGAATCTGTTTGTTCTCCTAGCAGTCTATGGTATATTCAATACTCTGCTCCAGCACCACAGCTCAAAGGCATCAATTCTCCTATCATCTGTAGTCACTGTCCAACTCTCTGATGCATAGCAAATAATCGCATCGACCATGGCCTGAATCAGGAGCACCTTAGGCTCCAGTCTGATTATGAGGAGGAATGTGGCATCAAGATTGGTGGAAAAACTCATCAACAACCTGCATTATTCAGATGACACTGGAACCTAGTACATTTTAAATAGTCACATGAGAAGAAAAAAAACCAAAAAACACCTCACTGCTATTGAGTTGATTATTGCACTGGTCAGTACAAACAGGCCAGGTCCCTCGTGCTTTTGGAGTTGGTCCTGCAGGGGCCAAGCCCATCTGTCATGCCTGGTCTGGACCTCGGTCAGCACTGCACTTCAGATCTGCTCTCTGTGTGGGTAGCTGGCTTCTTCCCGCTTCTAGAGCTGGGCTTTGGGTCCCTCTGAGCTAAATGTCTCCTAACACAGTCAGGAGATGTGGGCTCTGCCCTCTTGCCCTCAGAGCCAAGCACATAACTCTGTGAGGAGATCACCCTGTCTTGCTTGGATGCACACAGTCCCCATCAGCCCTCCAGCCTCCCATTTCATCCCAGGCTGATCCCCCTCATTTCCCCTGCCGCTGCCCGGCTGACCACACAGGTCATTTGCTCTACAGTGCTGTCCTCTAAGGCTTTCTCTTCTGGCAAAACTGCTCCGCTTGTTTCCGTCTGGCTGCACAAAGGCTCAGAACCTTAAATCCTGTCAAATCTACCAGACGTCACTTCTCCATCATGCTCCCAGTAGCCCTGGTGTCAAATACTCTCTGGTAGCTGAGTGGTAAGACAGGGCACTACCATCTCAAATGCACGTGGTTCAAATCCACCTGCTGTTCTGCGAGAGAAAAATGGACAATATTGTCTCGAGCGATAGACTGCCTCTGAAAACATGCCAGAAGGTCTCCTATGGGTTGGTTCTGACTCAGTGACATATAATGACAAGCTGTTGGAATGCTCCGATGTTCTAGCATCTGCCAGACAATTGCATTCACCCAGATGCCACACAAACTTTTCCTAAG